CCTGCAAAGCTGTTAGTTAATTATCTAAGGATGCACTGTTTGAACTAATGACCACATTTCTAGGCTCATGTGTAGATGGATCCAGGATATTGTTAATCAGGTAAGCTGCAACAGTTAATTAGTGGTTGGCATCTAACTAAAAATGATAAAGCAATTTGTTTTGTTTGCGATCTTAACATGAGAAGGGAACATATACATAGAATGTGGCTATGAGTAATCTCTGCTTAAAAACAAACTGCACTAAGACAAGTGGAATTCTGTGACTTTTCATAAATTAGGCAAATGTTTATGATTGTTGTTATATTATATTATATTATATTATATTATATTATATTATATTATATTATAATGTGCTGACTTTCTCTTGCAAGGAACTGAAAGCAATTTACAAGTTTCTTTTCCTTTCTGTTTTATCCTTACAATAGCCCTGTGAAGTAGGTTAGGCTGAGAGTCTGTGATTAGACTCTCAGCCTAACTTAAGAGTCTGATCACCACCCAATGAGTTTCATGGCTGGGTGGGTACCAGAACATAGATCCCCCAAGTTCCAGTCCAAAACTCTAACCACTGCACAACACTCTTATGCAAGGAATATTGAACATATTTATCCTACTGTGTAGCCCTGAGGTGGTGCCCAAATGGCCATGCTGAGTTGCCTTCCAAGTGATTTTTCTTCTTTGCAAGTGAATGGACTGATTCCTGCATTCACTTGCACAGGGGAGAAGAAGTACTCATTGCTGAGAAATGGGTGTAGTGGAATGAAGTCTAACTCTTCTGGACCTTTGGAAGCAACAGGCAAGCTTTCCCTCTCGCCAGTTTTTGGTAGAGATGGTTCAGTCCATGTACAAACCAGTGTAAACAGCTCTATTGGTTTGTACAGGGAGTGAAAAGGTGCTGCTGAATATTGTCTGGAAGGGGGGAGTTCAGGCCCAACCAAGGATCCTCAGAACAAGAGAGCCCTTGGTAGTGGTGCTGACTTTGGCCTCCTCCAGATGGCTGATGGCATGGAAGCATTTTCTTCCCTTACAAATGAATGGAAAAATGCTCCATTAAGTGTGCATGGAGATAGAGAGAAAGAAGAAGCAACCAGAGGGAAAGAGGAACTAAATAAAGAGGGGGGAGGGGGAGCCAGATGGAGGAAGAAGAGCCAGGGAGCTGGAAGGAAGGAAGGCAGGAAGGAAAGGGCTGCTCCTCATCCCATGCAAATAAGTGGAGATGTTGCTTCGTTCAGCTGCATGGGGATGGGGAGAGCAAGAGAACTAGAGCAAGGGATCAGAAAGAAAGACTGGATAAGTGAGAAGAAAGTGGAACCAGGCACAGAGGAGCAGAACCAGAGATAGAAGGGATGAAAAGGGAAGAGCAAACAGAAAGAAGACAGGGAGGGAAAGAGGGTCCTAGAGGGAAATTAAAAGGAAGGAGCGAGACAGTCAGAATCTAGAGGGAAGGGAGAGCCAGAAAGAATGGAAGGAAGCAAGAGACGTAAGTAGGGGGGGAAAGCAATCACAGAGAAGAGAGAAAGAAAACCTGGAGGGAGGAAGGGAGTGTAATGAAGAGAGGAAAGATGGAAGGAAGGGGGAGAGAGGGGGAGAGAAAGAAATAGCTAGATGTGTATGTGTGTGGAGAGGCAGGCAGGCAGGCAGGCAGTGCAACTAGAGCAGTGGTTCCCAATCATTTCTATGCTCTGCACCCCTAAAAAATGTTTGATTTATGTTCACATCCTCTACAAAAGTAATATCACACTTGAACATGAAGTCAATTTTCTAATTTTTGAATCACATACAGTACTGCAGATCAATAAATTGAACTAAAATATAAGCTTTTAAATCAATGCATAAAATTCAAATATAAATTGAGCGATTAGAAAAAATGTAAACAATACAATCCCAATTGTGAACATAACACTTATTTGTTCCTGCTTCTCATTCACAATTTTATCAAAATGTGGAACTGTCTTACTGATTGTGATCTTCAAGTCTGCCTGCAGGCTATTCCTAATTTTGTCTTAATTGGCAAAAGAGAACTGAATCCAAATGCAAACAAAACAGTAAATAATTTTATTACTGGAATAATTTTGGGTGGGAAAATGTGATGCAGGCTTCCACTTTGCCATACCCCCTGAAATGCCATCTCTTACCCCCTGGGAGTGAGGCCACCCCATGTTGGGAACTAGGGAGAAAGCCAGAGTGGGTGGAACTCATGCTAACATTCATGAAAACATATGGCATGCCAAACTTTTTTGTAATTACCCCATCATTCTCTACACCCACACCCACAGCCCTTCCTCACACACACACACACACACACACACACACGGGGGGGGGAGAGAGCGCGGGCGAGTGCAGTGGCATTCAGGATACTTTGTGGTGGCCTTTTGAGCAAGGTACTCTGTCAGCTCCTTCCTGCACAGAGTCTGCCTCTATTGCTGTATCTCCTCCCTTTTTCCATCATTGCTCCCACTTTCTAGTTTGTTAGGCAGAGTTCCAGCGACCATGTTGGCCATGTCATCTGCTAGTTCTGCCTCTCTCTTCTGGACCAGGGCGAGAGGCAGGTGAGCAAGCAGATCACCGCAGTAAAGAGGAGAAGCCAATCCAGAGCTCTCTTGCGAATAGGCCCGAGATGAGTTGTGGGCTGTGTGCAGGTGCCCAACCGTGTCTTCCTTGAGCACCACTCTGCTTTGTGGGTGGGTGGCTTGCAGTAGTGGTCGTGCCTCATCTGACTTGATTGATATATAGGACTGAGCCATATTTGCTTGGTTTTTATTGTTCAGCTGTTAGCTCAACAATTAGACTTAATTATGCACCAAGAGGGAAACTGGAATGGGCTGAAGCATGGGCAGCAGACAATGCTATGAGAGATTTATAAAACATATGAGTGTGCCTGTTGCAATCCATTGCTAAGCTAATACCCTTTCAGTAAACACAAGACCGAGGCATTTCCCCCAGCCAACCTGTTTGCAATCTGTTCAGCACCTGTTGAGCAGGGAGTCGTAGTAGCTAAACCCATGCCATGCCATACTTGGCACAGCAACCTGTTCCCCATGAAGAAGTGCCAGTGGTGGGAGAGTGATGGTAGCTGAATAGAAGGAATGTGGCACTGTGCTAGCATTTAAGCAAATGGAAAATAAAATCCTTCATTAAAATACCATAAGCTGGAAAGAAAAAGTGTGCAGTGCTTATTAGATCACCTGCTGGTGATGCTGCATTGTTAGAGCAGTTTCTCCTGATAAGAGAACCAGGATTAATGTTCTCTTCTGAGAATGCCATTGCACTGTTGAAGCGACATAAAACAAATTAAATTTTTTTAAAAGAAGAAACGTCACCTGCAGTTATGGCCGTGTTGTGTATAAATGTAGGCAAAGCAAATTTTCAAACAGTTCTTGCTCTGCATGAAGTAATAAATAAAATTGAGCTGGAACAGTAATGAATTCTCACAAGAGCAAAGAATATTAAATAAAATGCAGCCAAGAGGTTTGGTAAATGGGAGGAAAGGAGACACTTTAAAGGAGGGTGTTTTATTTTTTATTTTATTAATAATTCTTATATATCACTTAATCTATTAAAATCTCTATGTGGCTTACATACAAAGTATTAAAATTACTGTTAAAATATACCATTAATAAAGAATTAAACCAGTTCCACAAAAATGTATAAATAAAAATAAACACTAAAACAGATCAATGTTACAAGAATCCTGGAAATGTTTCCAGGGCCTAAATTTCAGTGTGGGCAGCGCCAAAGGTAAAAGGTAGGAAATCAAGGAATATCAATCATATTCTGTTATATGGCAGAAATCGGAGAAAGTTGGCCAAGAAAATCCATGTGCCTTCCATGTGGTGCCAATCTAGATGCCACTTCCCCTTCCCATCCTTCTTTCCACTGTCTTAGAGAAACAAAGAGAGAAACAAAACCCCACAGAGGAAGAATATGGATCTAGCCCCTTTAGGGAGCCAGCCTTGTCACAGTGGTGGATATGCAGCTCCACTTAAGTAAGTCTTACAAGAAGCCAGGAAACCTTTGTGAGATTATGATAGCTGTATTGCTTCACTTAGCAGGAGTGAGTAGGAGGTGGAAAATGATAAGGACTTTGCTCTGCTACTGAGAGGCAAGGCTGAGCAAACAGAGGCCAAGCACTTTTTAACATCTTCCCTCCATTCCTGAGGCAAAAGAAGGGGGACTCCAGTAGGAACTATGACATAGACAATGCTTTAAATCTCCTTGCCTGGACTGGCACAGCCCTAAGGCACTGTTCTGGGAAGGCCATTAAACGGACCCTGTGGGTGAGCCAAGTGTCAGACATGAGAGGCAATCCATGTTCTTGCTCAGTGTATTCCATTGCAGTTCCAGTAATGTCTGCAAATCCTTAAGCTTACACCCTGGTTTCCGTTTCTTGAGTTCATAGAATATCATGCCCACAGTTAAATACATGTTAAGTCCCTTTGATTACAACCTGTTCCTAAACTTACCAAGAAGCTTCAATGTGGCATTTACCCATTGCAGCCTTAATCACGGTCATTTCTACCCCACCCTCAACCCCAGATTGTATCTGTAATGTCTGCTACTTTCAAAAAATCTGCTATTCATATTGATCTTCTATGAAGGTTGATGCAAAGGCCATGTTGAGAAATGTTTTTTAAAACCTGTTTGTTATTTATTTACCATCATAAGGCAAGAGGACAATAATGCAAGGGGATGTTGAAAGCAGAAGCAGAAGATGGGGAAGGCCAAATAAGAGATGGATCAATTCCATAAAGGAGCCTATGGCCTTGAGCTTATGAGCACTGAGCAGGGCTGTCAGGAGCAGGAGATCTAGCAGGGCGTTCATTCATAAGGTTGCCATAAGTCAGAGATGACTTGATGGCATGTAACAACACTACGTTTATGCTATGCAAGGGCCACACGGAAATACATCTCCATTTCTCCACTTATTTATCAAGGTAAAATTTGCATTCAAGCACTACAGAAAACCATGGTTCCAATGTAACCCTTCTTCCTTTCTCCTCTAGGAACCAAGCTGTTAAGCCTGTACCATGGAGGACTGCCTTCATACTTCTTCTGAAAATCTCTCCAAATTGGTTAGCTGGGCCCACAGTCATGGGACTATCTGCAGCCTTATTCCAAATCTAAAGCACCTACTGTCTGAGGGTTCCCATGGCAACCTGACTGCCATGTGGGGCTGTAGCGCAGGCCATGCCTATCACTGGCCCTTGACAGCAACCTGTCGAGCTGGCTCACAGGAACGAGTTTGTTTCCAGGACAACCGAAGCTTCAACTCGGACAGTCCCAGCATTCTTGGTGTACCTTCAGATGCACAAACAAGCCCAGTGGAACGGTACTCTGGGAGGCCAGGGAAAGCAAAACTGGACTGCAACAGAGCCAGAGACTCCTGCGATTTCTCCTACTGCAGTGAACCTTCTGAATTAGATGAAACTGTGGAGGAATATGAAGATGAAGCCACTCTTTTTGACATGGTCTGTGAATCCTCAGTGACAGATGAAGACAGTGATTTTGAACCACATCCTCAGAGATCTCAAGCTAGTTCTCGGAAAAGACCAGGCCCGGGTCCCACTTCCTCATTTCATTCAGGCTCCCGCTCTCAGGTCATTGATGGCAGCAGCAATGATGTGCTTGTCAAAAAAATCAAGCAAGAACTCCCTGAGGACTATTACATTGTGGCCAATGCAGAAATTACTGGTGGCGTGGATGGGCCTACATTATCCTTGACCCAGATGTCAAAACCGAAAGCTCATCATGGAGCTTCCTTCCCTGGGGCACCGAAGCCCACTTCCCATCCTTCACCTTCGCTCAGTGCTGAATTTGACTTGCAAAGTGTTTCTGCCTCGTCACCAGTCATGACCAGGCCAGCAGCTCAGAAGCCTCAGAAAGTGAGTTTGGCTTCTCCAGGTCGAGGGCCGGGTAGCAGCACCCCTGCAGTCAACCCTCAGGGAGCCCTCCAGATGCCTGCTAGCACTTCCAATGCTGGCAAACCAATAAGCATTCCTTTATCAGCCTTGCAAATCCCTGGGCAAGAAGAACAGGTAGTTTCTGATGATCTCCTCCAGCCAGTGACCACTCAAGTACCCAATGATGTAGCATTATCTCCTTCTGTTAGCACAGAGCCGGAAGTTAGCTCGAGTCAGCAGCAGCCAAGCACGGCACCAGCCCTGACCACTGAGCCAGTGGCACAGACAATACCAGGTATCAGCACTTGGAATGCTTCTCTGGGTGTTATTTATTTGGGGTGGTTTTAAAAATCCACTATATACCCTGAAGGTCAAAGCTTTACTCGATGCATACAAATAGTGATTGGTTGCTGGTAAGGCAGAAAGGGTTTGGACTCTTTTCTGGTGTAACTGGAATCATGGTGTAACTGGAATCCCTCAGCTCATATGGTGTACTGTAATTTACACATAGGTGGTCCTACTGACTAATTTGTAATTTACAGATAAGTAGTCCTACCAACTCATTCTTCTAGGATATTGTCACAAAGTGCCTACTCTAGCATTTCCCCAAATTTCAGCTTTATATTTTTTTTAAATAAAGCAAATGTGCCAGGTACACAAATAATACCTCAGAATCTCTATAGGCATAGGTGGGTGGGATTCTTTTATTCCTCCTAAATATGGCCCCCTGCAAAAGCACCAAACAAGGTTCAATTCAGAACATCTCATTTTAAAGCTAAGATTCTTAACTAAAACCTCCAGCAAGCAGAAGTAAAGTCCATGCTGGAAAGCTTTGCTATGATATTTTAAAGTTAGTAGCCCAAACTGTCAGTTATGCAAATAAAAAGTCAGCGGGCTTGGCATTTTTATGTACTAAGTCTCATTTTGCATCGCCTCAGGAAGGATTGAACCTTAAATTACTGAACTTGCTGATAGCTGAACAGCAACCTTATGGGGACTGCAACCCCTGGGGGAAGATTTTAGTCAGAGAAAAGGTTTTTCAGATTCAGCAGTTTAGTTACCTGAGGCACTTTCTACTGAGGTCTAAAATGATAGGTCAAAACTAGTGCTAGTTTTTATTTATTGTTTTAGTTGAGTGGGAGCAGGGAGGGGTGAGCATTCAAACAAATCAGCATGCAAGGAAGTATGAATCTACTCCCATCAACCCCAACCAACATGGTCAGAGGTCAAGCATGTTGGGAGTTGTAGTCCAATACATCTGGATGGGCACCAGGTTGGGGAAGTAGGACTTGCATCCACCAAATGGCTATGCAAAGCAGGGCACTGAACCCCCTTGCACTTCTTTTGTCTCCCCTAGGGAGGAATTCCAGTATGATTCCTAGAAGGTTAGGTTCTAATGGGAATAGAGTATGATGGGGTGGGTTCTTCGGCTCCTTCTAGTTGTGGTAGGGAAACATCACAAATGTCCCATCTTAGTAAACTTCTCAAACGTAGGAGAGGTCTGAGTATGAGACATCTGGTTTTGCTGTATGACAACAGTTTATCCTGGCAGCCGTGGTGTTTGAGCCAGCTTTAACATGTTTGTCTTGCTAGCAGCAACATTTACACTGCAGTCAGGTTGGCTAGCTGAAGAGTATTTATGCCTGGGGTCATTTCCACCTTGCTGTGGCTTGGGCTGCTCAGACAATCCCAGCCAGGGCAGAGAGACAGGGAGACCTGGGGTGCTTCCAGATGAAGGCATCCTTTCTTCCCTGCATAGATTGTGACAAAAGCAATTAATCAGTGGGAGAACAGGTGACATTACATGGAAGACGTTGCCTGGACCTGAATAAAGCTGGAAGCATCTGTCTTTTGATTCTTGCTGGGCTTTCTTGGAAGACAGAAAAAGAGACTGGGAAGGGCCTTTGGTAGGGGGGATTTTGGAAGAAGATGCTCCCATGTTCTATTTGCTTTCCCAGACTTGTCTACATTACAGCAGCCTGATCCTAAGCAAAGTAGCACTTCCACAGTTACCTTTATAAGTAAATTAAGAAATTTCTACATTTGATATCCTGCTGACTACTCTGAAGAATTTTTGTGGACATAGAATCAGAACAATGAAAACATCCTATTACCTTCATATTGCACTTTTCTTCCTTTTGCAAGGAATCCAAGGTGGCTTACAAAGTTCTCCTCCTCACCATTTTTATTCTTACAACAAGCACCCTTTCTCGTAGGTGAGGCTGAGAGTGAGTGACTGGCCCCAAGTCACCCTGTGGATTTCATGGCTGAGTTGAGTTCCAGTCCAATTCTCTTAATGACTACACCACACTGGTTCTCAGAAACATTTTAAAACAAGTCCACCAGTATCATTCCATCCAGCAGAAAATCCAGCTCAAATGCAACAGCCAACAACATTCCTGAATAGAAAATACTTATCGTGTTTCATGAAGAACAAGGAGGAGGCAGGCAGGCAGGCCTCCTTCCAGAGGGCCTTCTATGAGGAAGGTGCCACTATTGAGAAGGCTTTTCTTGTGGTAGCTTCTTGTTATGGCAGACCTACCCCTAGCAGACTAGGGAACCCATCTTCCATACCTTGATACCTTTGCAGCCTCTGCTTCAAAGGTAATTTGAGAGAGAGAGACCAGGAAGCAGGCAGAAAGATGTTCTAGTAGCCATGCTCCTCATCAACCCATGAACTTGCCCATATATCTGCCTGCTTCTTGTTTTCTCTCTTTCCCTTGTAGGCTCAAGGTGTCTCATGATGAGGAGTCCTTGTGAGGTGGAGGCAAGAGTGGGCGATAGAGGCAGAGAAAGAATAGAGAGGAAGAGCATGCCAAAAAAAGGAGAATAGGATAAATCCGTGTGTGTGTGTGTAAGAGAGAGAGAAACAGAGACAGAGAGCAATTGTATGGAAAAGGATGTATATTTAAAGAGGTGGATTGTGTATGTATGTGAATGTGAGAAAAAAAGACTGAGAATGTGAAAAGGATTGATGTTAAGATAATTACCATCCACTCTCTCTTCCCTCTTTGTTAAGATTGTCACAACCCCACTGTGTTTTTCTCTGTTTTTTGAGATTCTTAAGAATTCTCCTGCAACTCACCAAAAGATAACCTCTGAAGAAATAGGGCCCTGAGAGAAATGATTGTTCTCTCCTGGTTAGATCTTTGAATGTCATAAATTACATATTGAATGGCATCAGTGCCATGACTAGGTGTAATCTAGCAACAGCATTCAGTTCAGTGGCCTAATTTAACACTGCCTCTCCTAAACTACTCGGAATGCTTAAAATAAAAACTTGCTGATCTTGTTTAATATAATACTAAGTTATTTAAAAGAAATAGTTACTAAACCCCTGCTTTCCTTTTATGTTTGCATTTTTGCTATTGTTAGAGGATCTAGAAACTTGAACAAGTGACTCTGTTAACTATGACCTCCACAAACTACTTTCTCCTTTAAACATGTGCCAAAATTTTGGGCCAGTTCTGAGCTCTTTTGTGCCACATATCCTGCGATTTGTGCCACCAAAAACATGTGAAAACGCTAGACCCTTGTGTGGCACAACAAATGCAAGCAAAATGGCACTCTCATATTTCTCAACCTACAGCAATGCTTTGAGCTGCCAGGAAAAGTTTATCAATGACATAGTACAAGATAGATATTCATTTGGTGGGTTCATAATTAACGGAGCCCAACCTCGTCCAGTGAGTTAAGCAGCATTGTATAAGATCTTGTGGTTTCAGAGCCCTCTCCATGTGCAGAGGGGAACAGCAGTATGCAATTTCAATCCCTGCACTTGGCAATGAGATCCCTGGGTAGGTCATGCCAGTTCTATGCATTTTGCTCTTAGCTAACCAAGAACAATTGCTTGGTGTTTCTGGTGCTTATCTGTAGCAAATCTCTCCTCCCCCTCCAAGTGTTTATGAATGGTTTCATTGGAATAAATCTAATGTTTTCTGCCACTGCTTTATTTGGAATGTCATAGAATAGAAGTTGAAACCTTTTTGTTTTCCACTTTTTAATATTGAAACAAATTTGGTTTGGGAACCTTTTAAATGTTTAATACTATATTTGAACCATTAGGAATTTAACAGAAATGCTGCATTCTATATGTCATTCCCTTATTGTACAAATACAATTATCTGCAAAAATGTGAGATGGTTACAAATGGTGGATACTTTATTGACTGTCAAAAGAAAACATTAATCCAGAGTATTTGTGTTTGGATGCCTCCAAGGCTTAGATTTTGTTGAACAAAAAGTGATTCATTTCAAATGTTGAGTGTTTTTTCTATAAACGTTGGAATCATTTAATGGCAAAAGAAGGTTTATTTGCCCTAAATGGAAGTTTGGCTAGCCAAAGTCCATTATGAATCTTTTAATGTTGAAAATAAAAACTTAACTATTCACCAGTTTTATAACTTTGGTTATCTCAGTGGCTATTCCATAAAAGAGTGTATTAAACATAAATGCAGTTTAAATCCTGTTTTCTTTAATCCTCTGTACATGAAAATGTTCCCCAAATCTCCAAGGAAGACTTAGACCTTCACCCCCCTCCCCGAGCTTTATGCAGATGATATTGAGAAGCAAGAGTTGCAGATTTCAGTGGAATGGACAGGAATCAGTCAGGTCTAGAAAGGGTGTATGTGTGTTTGTTTGTTTTTGGATGCATTCAGAGTTTAATTATGTAATATACCATGTATGCAAAAGGACCTCTTATTGTTTCCTATTTTATATACTTGCAAATACCATATTATCAGTATTTGCACACAGTGACCCTTTTTAATAAAGAACAGGCATTTGCATCTTCTTGTACATAGGCCTTAAGATATGCAGGCACTGTGCAGAAACACTGAGCTGTCCAGGGAAGTTCTGTTCATTCTGAGTAGTGCTGTCATCATCTTCCCCAAAGCCTTGTTTTGTGTATGTTGCTTCAAGTTGAGTTGGAACATTTTAATATGTGATTCCATGGAGTGGGGTGGCCCAGCACACAGCCTGTGGGCCACATGCAGCTCCTGAGGCCTTGTTGTATGGCTGTCTTTCCACCAGGAGCCCCATGTGCCCCCACAGTCCCAATCCCAGTGATAGCAAGGGCATGATTGCAGTGAGCTCTCGTGAGTCTGCTGGCCCATCCAGCTCTCTTCCTGAGCCTCAGGAAGAGAGTGGGTCTGGCTGGCATCCTCACATGCCCTGCCTGCTCCTACTGATGAGCAGCATGCGGCTGCCAGCCCAACAGATACTCCCCAGTGTGCCCTGTTGACAAGCATTCAAGTGCTAGCCTTCCAAACATCAGCTGGAGAGGCATGGAGCTGCC